AGTCCCCAGGAGGGAACAGAGAGAGTGGGAGAGCGTAGAGACAGGGTTGACCATGACTGCATTCTTTTCTACTCCCGAGTGTGTCTGGGGCTGGTCTGTTTCTTTTTCTTTTGTTCTGGGTCAAGTCTGGGCAGCTCAGCCCAGTACTCGGGCCCGTGAGGTACTGCGGACTGAACCCAGGCCTTCCACATAGAAACCACGCCTTAACCCATTGAGCTCTCTGGTCCTTGTGTAGCATTCTTAAAGAATTGGGAGAGAGGCGCAGGAGAGAGCACAGTGGATGGGATGCTTGCCTTGCATATGGTGGATCTGAGTTCAATCCCAGGCACCCCGTGTGATCCCCCAAGCCCTGCCAGGTGATGATCCCCGAGTGTAGAGCCAAGAGAAGGTCCTGAGCAAGGTCGAGTGTGGCTCAAAAAATAAACAAAAACAAATTGGGATAGAATGGGCCCAGATAAGGCTAGCAGGGCCAGCAGGGAGCCAGCTGGGCTGGGGGAAGTCACCAGGGCCTCTTGTTTGAATAGTTTATCTATGGTGCAGGCACTCCAGCCAGGGCTGCACATATGCGAGGCCAGTGCTCCTCAGGAGAGCCAAGACCTAAGGCCTTCAGAGACTTTTGCTGGAGATTAAGGGTTCAAAGCTGGGGGAACTGGTTTGGACTGGTTTGGGATGTTACTTTGGGCCTCGGATAAAATATTTCTCAATGCCAGCAAGGGTTTTGGAAAAACAATGGTTTCCCCCCACCCCCACCTGGCTACTTCCCTAATCTGTAACAGGAAAACAGGCAGATACATTTACCCAAGTTCCTAGATGCTGGTATAGTTCAAACCAATTCTGCCCGGGGCAGGAGGCAAGAGACTAGCAGCTAAGGCCCTTGACTTACAGGCCATGATTGGGGTCCGATCCAGCACCCTGTATGGTCCGAGCACCACCAGGAGTGATCCCTGAGCCCAGAGCCAAGAGTAAGTCCTGAGCAACACCAGGTGTAGCCCCAAAACTAAAAAGAAACAAAAAAACAAACCAAAATAACCCAATTCTGCCTGAATCGGACGAGACCTGGCTGTGCACCATGAAGGAAATGAGTATGCCTTGTACCCACATCCTGAGGGAAAACAGACCTAAACAATGGCAGACGCACCGGCCAGGACCAACCTTCAGCTGGCAGCGGGGTGTGTGCTGACCAGGCGGCTCTGCTCAGCTGGCTGGTCTGGGCTGCTCCATCATCATGTGGTGCAGAGAAGCCGCGGAAGGGGAGTGCCTGAGGGCTGGAGCACAGGCTTTGCTCACAGGAGGCCTGGGCTGGTCTCTGGGTGTGGCCCCCAAATTAAGAGAATTAAAGAGAACCTGCTCAGTAGGCCGGTCCCAGCAGAGCTCCTGGTCTTCCATCCTTTCTATTCTCTGGAATAGGACACCCAGAGCAGGGGGTGCCCTCAGAAGCCTGCTTCATGTGAGGAAGGTCCTTCTCGCATCGTCTACTCCTCAGACATCCCGGAGCTGATGTGCTCACCCACAGAACAAGGTGCCACCCAGGGCCACCTGCAGTGATGGCCCATGACAGTCTGTATGTCTAGGTAGTTTGAGTTGGCCACGAATATCACTTGGCAGACAAACTCTCATCTGAAACCATCCGAGCCCCACCCCATGGCTCCAGATTGAGGCCCCAGAGTGAGGCAAGCCCGGGATGAAAAATCTTCGTGAGACTCAAAGTCTTCCTGAGACAAAACACAGAACCCAGTAGGAGGGGCCAAGGCGGGAGTAGAGAAGCGAAGGTGCCCGCATTGTGCAGCTCGTCCCTGAGCACTTGCTGGGTGCAGCCCTAGAGGCCCCCAAACAATTCTAAGGTGGTCCTGGTAGACCCTGGCAATGCAAGGCCTGAGCAGCACCACATCCTTGGAACTTGCATGATACTTCTGGCCAACTGTCCCAGGGAGTGGTCCTGAGCACCACGTGGGGGGCACTCCCTTAACTCCCAAAGCACACAGCAACATTACACTGAGGAGAGGGGTTTTCTGGGTAAAAAAAAGCAATACCAGGTGTGGTCAGAGGATTCACCGAGCTCAGGGAGGTGGGAGGGAAAGAAGATCATTGGGTCTGTGTGCAGGGAAATGGCTCACACAAAGAGGAGCCCGCGTCCTGCCTCCGAGCTGATGATACGTGGGGAAATAGCACACCGCCTGCCAGCACAAAAGCACTGGCAGCAAACCCTGTCACCCTCCCCATCCCCCCTACCCCTGCGACCCTCCCGAAGAGGTTATGGATTGCATGTAACTTGCTCAGGGGAGGTGTGTTGAAAGCAGGTGTGAGAAAGGGTGGAACTGATTTCTGGCAGAGCGCACAGCTGCAGTACAGCAGCTCAGACCCTGCAGGGGGTGCAAGGGAGCCCCCTTTTTCCCTTTTGTCATGGTATCGGGGATCCAACCTGAGGTCTCACACATGCACATGCAAGGCCAGTGCTCTGCTGCTGAGAGCTCACCCTCATCCTGTGTGGACTCTGGTCAGGGGAGCCGGGGGCTCATTTTTAAAATGGACTCAGCACTCAGGGATCACTCCTGGTGGTGCTTGGGGGACCATATGGGATGCCGGGGATCGAACCCAGGTTGGCCGCGTTGCAAGGCAAATGCCCTACCCGCTGTGCTATCACTCTGGCCCCTCGCTTTTGAATTATAAAAGGGTTATCGCCGGCATTGCCAACTCCCGGCCTGGTGCACTAGCAGGAACCAGGGCTGCAAGGGGTGAGGGGTATCCATCTTAGGGTTCTGCACAGGCTCAACACCGAACCATCTCCCCTGCCTGAGCCTGGACTCTTGCGCGCGGCTCTGCCAGCCTGAGCACCGGAGCCGGGAGACCAAGGGCCCAGCACAGCCAGATCCGCAGGCATCTGTCCTCCAGGAAGCAGCCTCTTCCCACTGAGCAGACTGGAAAAGCCCATTTGTTTCACATCCACAGGACCACCTGGGTTTCCAGAGAAGGCACGTCCCTGCCTGCTCCCAGCCGGGGGAGCCATGGCCCCTGGGGCTGGGGGGAGCCAAGCTCCTGCTCTCCTCCCCACTCCTGCCCCAGAGCACACAGGGCTTTGCCCTGCGCTCCCACTCATCGCTGTTTCTGCACCCTCCAGGTGCGCCTCACACTGCATGAGACTGGGGAGGTCCAGAGCGTGCCTCCAAGGCACACACGTGTCCTGGAGGTGGGCCGGGCCGCCGTATCACCGTCAGCAGAATCACAGCTTCCTGGGGAAATGGCATCTCAAACCCTAGGGACTAAGCCAGGCCATCAGCATCCATCAAACCCTCATAAATGGCCAGAGTGCAGCTAAGAACTAGGAGGGTGGGTAGCAAAACAATCCCCCGGGGCCTGTGGCTGCCTGCAAGAGCCGGGGAGGGGAGGGCCTCCTGGCGAGGGGGCGGCAGGAGAGCGGGTGCAATGTCCCCAAACACTCAGACAGCGGGTTTTGGCGAAGTCATCGCTCAGGACTTGCTCTGGAAAACAAGTGGCTATTTGTTCTGCAGGCAAAGCGGCGAGGCCAGGCGAGGCGGAAAAGGGAAGAGAGGGGGAAACCTACCCCCTCGGGGATCACGAGAAAGCGGGGCTCCCCCACAAGCACCAACAAGGTGGCCCCAGGTTACACACCAGAGGTCCCGACCTTACACAGCTGTAGCGGCTAGGGCCACTGGAAACCTCCGCTACTCCAGCAAGTGGACGGTACCAGAACCACGTGTACAGGGCAGTGTAAGGGGAGCAGTGTTCTAGAGGCCCGGCCCACTGGCCCGGAAACAGCCAGGAGCAAGTCATCCTGGGATCAATGCCTCTGCTGCCGGCACCCTTCCCTCGCCCCAATGGAACCAAGGGATGCCCGCAGACCTCCAGCAAACTGAAGCTTCTGGTTCCGTTAGTTAAGGGGAAGGACGGGCATGCAGAGAACACCAACAACCCCACACCCCATGTCTCCAGGTCCCACGGCTCACCCTGCCCCCCCATCCCCCGCCCAGGCACACTGGACAATAGGGTGGACCTTCCGGTCTTCCAGAAGGACCATCTGGAGCTTTCCTCGCCTGAGACTCTGCAGGAGGGTCTCGGGGAATTCTGAGAACTCCACAGCCCCTCTGACACCCTTCCCCAGGAGGCCGCCTGCCCAAGTCTCACCGGAGAAAGAAAATAACTTGATACTGTGGACTTGGGAACAGGGCCAGCCAGCAGAGACTTGGGAAGCAACTTGATTTGGGAAGCTTGGGGAACAGGGATGGAACAGGTGGGCCTGTGGATCCAGGAAGCGGAAGAGGCAAGGGGCAAGGTGGGCACACGGCAGTCTGGGTGGGTCCCGCCAGACTAAGAGAGAGAAGACAAAGGAGGGGGAGTCGTGTGTGTGTGTGTGTGTGTGTGTGTGTGTGTGGTAGGGGCAGGGGCGGTAGGGGGGTGGGGGGGGCAAGGGGTGGTTGGTGGCGTGCAAGGGAGAATACAAAACCAGCAAGGGAATAAGGGACTTAACAATGCAGGTGGGCGGGCAAGGTGGCAGCGGCACTGAACTGCCAATGCAACCTCGGGAGAGTGAAGGAGTGAAGGTGCAGAGGAAAGGCTCAGCCAGAGCAGGTGGTGTATAAAGCGCAAGGAGAAAGCCAAGAAGAGACCCCCCCCCCCCCCGAGAGGGGGCAGAAAGGAGTGTGCCAACCTGGGCGGCGGCGGCGGCCCCGGCTGGCAAGTGGGGTGACCTCAACTTGGCTGTGACAGGTGGGAAGGAAGCAAGATCTCGGCGCGTATCTCCAGAGACAGATGGGTGCATGTGGGTGTGTGAGTGAGACACAGGGACGGGGTGACCCCTGGCTGGAGGCTGCGGCTAAGGCGCGGGGGCTCAGGAGCCTGCCTGCGGGTGGGATGGGGGTGGGGGGTGGGGGCAGAGCTCACCCCCCACCCCGGCCTCAGAATGCCCGCCGCCTCGCCCTCGCGGGCCGGCAGGCGCTTCCCAGCAAAGGGTCCTGGTTCCCACCGGGCCGGGGTCCCGGACTCACGCATCAACGTGCTGAAGGCCACGACGCCGAGAAGCCCCTGCAGGAAGATGCCGAAACTGTGCATGAGCGCGCCGCTCTCGCAGCGGCCCGCCGCGGACGCCACCGTGGCAGGCGGCGCGCCCGCCACGCCGCGGCTCGCGTTCCCGCCGGGGCCCTGCATGGCGCGCCCGGCGCGAGGGGCGCCGCGGCCCGGCCCGCCTGGCCGCCTGCTGGGGGACGCGCCGCCGAGCCCCGCGCCGGGCACCCGCGCCCCGCGCCGGTCCCTCCGCCCGGCCGCCGACTCGGCGCCGCGCGTCACCCGACGTCTGAGATCGCAGCGCCTGATTGGCCCGGCCCGGCGTGGGGGCGGGCCTCGCCCGCTCGGGCCCTGCCCCGCCCCCGGGGCGGGGCTCCGGGTCGCCGAGGGGGCGGGGCCAGGGAGAAAGCCAGGTGCAACAGGTGAACGGGACCTCATGGGCCTCCGGGTTCCCCCCCACCCCCCCGGATGCGAGCTGAGACTGGGACTAAACTTTTCCTCTCCAGGGTAAATCGCTCCCCTTGCAGAATTGATTGAATTGAGGATTTAACAGTCACTCTGATTCGATTATGGATTGTGATGCGAGGCCTAACGATCTGCATTTTCAGCGAGCAGCCTGAGTTCTTCTGGCGAGCATAAGCAAGCCGAGAAGGTGCACACGGGCATACCCCTTCCAACGCAGATGATCCGCTTCCTTCTACTTCGTTAGTACCAACGTCCTGGCCAAAGATGTCTCAGATTCATCAATCAGACCCCAGCGAATCTTTTGCCCCCTAAAATGTAATTTAAGAGCTGGAGAGATAGCTGGAGGGGTAAGCCAACTGCCTTGCACCGGGACCATCCAGGTTCGATCCCCGGTATTGCCAGGAGCAATTCCTGAGCACAATGTCAGGACTGAGCCCTGAACACTGCCAGATGTGGCCCCCAAGTTAACAAACAAAAATTAAATGTGACTTAAATGGATATTTCAATCCAATGCATTAGAAACATATAAGGTTTGTATTTTTTTAAATAAAAAGTTAACATATTTCCTTCTTGTAGAAATTGAGTGCAATTCACAAAAGAAAGTGAAATTGTTGGTGTTTGCCAGTTTCCAACCACTCCCTCTGTAGACATTGACTCCAACCGGATCCTCTGAATCCTGGCACCCTGTGCTCTCTTCTCCTCCCCACCCTGAACATCACTCTGCCCTACTGGCGTTTCTCCAGACTTTTCCTAGAAATCCAACTGCACTGCGGCAAGCATTTGTTGCTGGTGTACTTTCATTCCTGTACATACTGGGCAGTTGTAAAGAAGAAATACCATATCTAGGGAAATTTTTCCTAAAGCATAGCCACCAAGAAATTCAGTTTTATAGACGGTGTCCCAAAGATTTCTTGGTTCACAAGAATATTGTAATTTGATTATCCAGAAGATAAAACTTCTATTGACTCCCTGGCCTTCTCCTAGTTTTGTATTTCACTCCCGTGCCTTTCAGTTAAGTCCAGCTGTGGCTTCCCATGTCTTACTTTAAGGGCTGCCTGACCCTCTGTCCTTACTGGCTTCCACAAAATCTCCTGCTCTGCTGCCTGCCTACTTCTCAGGCTGTTCCATTGGATGCTCTTTCTGCCTCTGGCACACACCACTGAGGAGCCGCCTCTGGAGGGCTGGAATCAGTTTTCACTGACCCTTGGATCCACCACAGTCCCTGGCACAGAGGACGTGGGACAACATGCTGTTAAAACTGAGGTTTAATTTATAAAATTCAAAGCTTCCGTAACTACTGACCATGGGAGTATACAGCAAGAACATCAAAAGGGGAAACTGCCATCACTGTCTCTAAAAGATCTCTTATGGAGATGTTCAAGAGATACAGTCCATACTCGGAAAGGACCAAGAAGATAATGTACCTAATACAGAAGAGATTCTGGTTGGGTTCTAGAAAACGGCTCAGGAATCTTGCATAAAGCCTGACGTGAGGCTTTTGACAAAGCTCTGCTCTGCTCATCCAGATGCAGAGGAGTCCAGAAGGCCGAGGCAAATGTCCATCGGCAAGAAGCATGTCCAGAACTCAAGGGCAGGAACATAGTCATAAGGGAAATTCTGTTCTTTCCTTAGCTAGAATTTTTAAAGTAACCTAAATCAAGAGGGGACTGGATTAGACAGCAGGAGAGGGAGATTGCTGGAAAGGCTCATCTTATTAAAGCAGGAAAAACCTTTCTTCTCCATTCATAGATACGTCTCTGAGGTCTCACTGGAAAGTTTGAATAGATTTACTACTATGGCTAATATGCCTTCTTGCTGTCAAATGAAGTTAGACGTAGCTTAGGACCTGATTTCCTTACAATCACTTAAACTGTCATACCACGTTTATGTACACTCTTACTTACCAAAACAAAACAGAACCAAAAAGCCCACCCAAAACAAAAAACACACACTAGAGTCTCCAAAATAGTTATTTTTTAATCCCTTGAAGTTATACTATCAAACTTGATGGGAGTTATTTTAATATGTATTCTTGTGCATATTTCTCCTTAAGTATACGTTATCCTCAATGCGTAACTTTTAAAATTAAAAGAAAAACAGCAAGCAGGAAGGATACAATGCAATATGCATTTTCTTTTTTTCTTTTTCCAAACAAGCATCTTGGGGGGGGGGGGAGGGAGGGGAGGACAAAATACATGAAACAAAGTGCATCTGTTGCAGTGAGTTAGTACTAGAAAGAGCATTGAGGGCAGTGCTGTAGCCAGCTAAAAGGCCTGGTCAGCAAGCCACTGATTGTCTTCAGAGGATTTTCTACCAAAAAGGGGCAGACGGAGCAGAAAAAAGAAATGAGCACTTTCAAAGCCCAAGAGAACATTCAAACTACACTTCCCCAGAGACTTCTTGCAAAAGCAGCCAAGGAAGTGCCCAGCTTTAACTTTATAACTGCCCTCATCATCAGCTTCTGACTTTACTTGTGCCCAAGGCTTGCCCTCAGGGTTTCTACACTCTGATTTCCTCCACCTGCCAGACTATGCAAGCTCTGAGGTGGAGTAAGCTTAAGACGGGAGTTTACACACACACATCCTGCAAACAGGCCGCCATCTGAATGGCATCACGTCTCTAGCCACGCCATCTCTGCTCTCCAGAAACATCTGTCACCCCTGCCTGCCCAACTTAGGGTTAACACTTGACCGCTACCAGGAAGCTGTATCCTGCCAGCTTGTGTCTCGCTTCCCTTTTTCAAGGCTGTCCTTCGGGTAAGCAGTAGTCCCACATAGATACAGTGTGAAGTCAGGAAAGACATAAAGGAGATATTTTTCAGGCCCACATCTCCGTTGGGGCTGGAGCGATAGCACAGCGGGAAGGGCGGTTGCCTTACACACAGCCAACATGGCTGACCCGAGTTCGATTCCTCTGCCCCTCTCGGAGAGCCCGGCAAGCTACCGAGAGTATCTTGCCCGCAAGGCAGAGCCTGGCAAGCTGCCCGTGACGTATTCGATATGCCAAACACAGTAACAACAAAGTCTCCAATGGAGACGTTACTGGGCCCGCTCGAGCAAATCGGTGAACAACAGGAGAACCGTGACCGTGACATCTCTGTTCCCTCAGTCCCTATGCCTAGTTATCACTTTTGAAAATGAAGAGAGCATACCTGAGCCGAGAAACCAATCTCCAGTGCATTTACCAGCCACTACCTGCTGTGTTTCCAGAGTAGATAGTGCCCTGCAGAGGGCGCTGCAACAATCAGGGGTGGCAGTAGCTGCCAGGACAACAGGGAAGGTGCTGGGCGTGGGGGCGGGGGGTGGGGAGGTAGGGTGTCATTTTCTGTTTGTTTGCTTTAAGAAGATTTCCAAGGAGACATTGCTCTTACCCCCCACAGAAGGGGGTGGTAGGCAAATAAATAAATTTGGGAAGCTCTGTTTTCTACATTCAGCCCATGAGAGGCGTCAGAATCAAATCTACTTCTGTGGACTGAGGCAAGCACTCCAAATGAGGGTTGTGGGACCAGCTCTATTTGGAATGGGCTTTGAGCGCTGAATTATTCTGCAAAAATCTCCAAGTCTATACGTAGCTTATATAGATGGAAGAATTCAAAATTCCCAAGTATGTACATTTTCACACAAGGGGTGAGAGTCATTAAAATTCACTAGCAAAATCTTACCAAATGAAAAAAAAACCTGTAATTACATGAAAGTGATCTTCTTGGCTTCACAGAAGGCTCTGGCCTACAATGAGCTTCTGAGTCAGTACTAGGAGCTTGGTATTTAACTACCTACAGTGGATGCAGGACCAAAGGTAACTCACACTTTAAAAGGAGTGCCTGGTTTCAACCAACATTTATGCTTCATTCCTCTTAGTGATGCTTTTTCTTCAATAAGGCCAACGGGTATCCCAGAACACTTTTGAACTTGCATGTGTATATTTACACACATATACACCAACCTCAAGATATGCCGCCAGAGTTTAAACCCAGAATGCAGTTCCACTGTTGAGGTTAAATTCCTAACACCTCTCTCAAAATGTCTGTGGAAATCAAAGATGACATAAATAGTCTTAGGTGATAGGGGCTACATAAATGTGAGTTCCCATGACAGTTCTCACAATGTTCCCATCTAGATCAAGGTTAGCTACGGGTAACAATTCCTTCATGTTCTGTGCCTTCCAGAAACACTTTTCAACTTGAGAGAAGGGAATAGCTCTGAATCAAACCCCACCTAAGGCCTCCTAAAGCTTATAATCTGTTTTCAGGAGGCACATGAGTAACTGCACTAATATAAAACCACAAGTAAAATGTATTTAAGCTCAGGCTCGAGGGATAGTGCAGCAGGTAGGGAACTTGCCTTGCACACAGGCCAGCCAGGTGCGAAACCCAGCATCCACTACAGGTCCCCCGAGCACTGCCTGGAGTAATTCCTGAGTGCAGAACCAAGAGTAAGCCATGAGCACCACCAGGTGTGGCCCCAAAATGAAACAAAACAAAGCAAACAAAACTCCCCAGAACCCCCTAAAACAACATCCCACAAACCCCACATACACAAGAAAAGTATCCAAGTGCTCAGGAAACAATGGTCCAATGGCATCTCTCTTAGAGTGAGAATAACTTTACTTCAAAGAGAAGAGTTATGAATTGGTTTTCTATCTGTTACTATCATAGTTCAATAAATATCAAGAAAGCACTCGCCCCCAGAGGTTGGCATGAATTCCTCCCTGACCTTTAGATCTATAATGCAGTATATA